TACTTAGGCTGCTACCCCCGCGACCCGACCCCGGATAAGCGGAAGAAAATGGATGGATGGATGGATAAAATAAACTACTACTTACTACTTGTACTACTGTTCCTACTTCGCGGTTTTTCACTTATCGTGGGACTTCAGAGTACGGATCCCCAACAATAAACGATGGACTACTGTACTCACAATAATAAAGAAAAGAAAATGACTGCTTGAGATAGGTACCAGCTCCCCAAAGACCCAGAAAAAAGTGGATAGAAAGAAGATATATGGATGAATAGATGGACGGATGTTAAGCACTGAGAGTTTCTTGATCATATGGTGTTTCCACGTGCGAGTGTAAGCTCACACAAAAGAGAGAGCAAAAACAGAGCTTTTAAAATCCTTACAGTACACAAGAAACATTTTTAGAGCTCCAGTCAGGAACACAGTTCTAATGTTTAGTAAGACAGCTTAAACCAGTGTTACCTGCTATGCTTACCTGCCCTGCCTTGCTGAAACGATGACCAGCCAGGATCATATGGAAGGCAAACTTACGCACCATCGGGTTACGCATATTAATGAAACAATGAGCTGCTTGTTCCAACAGCAGAGCACTGCGCAGGTCTGAGTCCTACAGAATTACAAACACAACTTATCTACAGCCGTTTCATGTAAAAATAAAAAAATTGGCTGGGGATTTTCAACACACAGAGTCCCTGTAACAGAACTTAACTGTTAACTTGTGTTAACAGTGAACTAAAATATTACCTCGCTGGTCATCTTAATGAGAAGAGATGCAGCCTCCGAGTACTTCCCCTGACTCTTGAGAATTTCAGCACTGAGTAAAGCACAGCGCTCAGCCAACACCATGTTCCTACAGGGGAATAAATAAAACCCTCATTTAGAAAACATTGGGATGTTGCATACATAAGACAACAATTTGTAAATCTCGTAAACTTGTACTTTATTGACAATAGAACATAGTGAACAAATGTCCTGATACATTCTCAGTAATCCAGGTAGATACATCTAACAAGGTTGAGTCAGAGCCTATGCACAGATTCTTGTTTGTTCAAATTGACTCAACCTTGTTAAGTAGTAAACAAATGTTTAGTAATTTAAAATTTCATGGGAGCAATAAATCTCAAAAAAGTACAAACCGGATTCCAAAAAAGTTGGGACACTAAACAAATTGTGAATAAAAACTGAATGCAATGATGTGGAGATGGCAAATGTCAATGTTTTATTTGTAATATAACATAGATTACAGATCAAAAGTTTAATCTGAGTAAATGTAACATTTTAAAGGAAAAATATGTTGATTCAAAATTTCACAGTGTCAACAAATCCCAAAAAAGTTGGGACAAGTAGCAATTAGTGGCTGTAAAAAGGAAATTGAGCATATAACGAACAGCTGGAAGACCAATTAACACTAATTAGGTCAATTGACAACATGATTGGGTATAAAAAGAGCTTCTCAGAGTGTCAGTGTCTCTCAGAAGCCAAGATGGTAAGAGGATCACCGATTCCACCATTGTTGCGCAGAAAGATAGTGCAGCAATACCAGAATGGTGTTACCCAGCGTAAAATAGCAATGACTTTTAAGTTATCATCATCAACTGTGCATAACATCATCAAAAGATACAGAGAATCTGGAACAATCGCTGTGCGTAAGGGTCAAGGCCGTAAAACTCTACTAGATGCTCATGATCTCCGAGCCCTTAAACGTCACTGCACCTCAAACAGGAATGCCACTGTCAAGGAAATAACAGAATGGGCTCAGGAATACTTCCAGAAAGCATTGTCAGTGAACACAATCCACCGTGCCATCCGCCGTTGCCAGCTGAAACTCTACAGTGCAAAGAGGAATCCATTTCTAAGCAAGCTCCACAAGCTCAGATGTTTGCACTGGGCCAGGGGTAATTTAAAATGGAGTGTGGCAAAATGGAAGACTGTTCTGTAGTCAGATGAGTCACGATTAGAAGTTCTTTATGGAACACTGGGACGCCATGTCATCTGGACCAGAGAGGCCAAGGATAGCCCAAGTTGTTATCAACGCTCCGTTCAGAAGCCTGCATCACTGATGGTATGGGGTTGCATGAGCGCTTGTGGCATGGGCAGCTTGCATGTCTGGAAAGGCACCATTAATGCAGAGAACTATGTTCAGGTTCTAGAACAACATATGCTCCCATCTAGACGTCATCTCTTTCAGGAAAGACCCTGCATTTTTCAACACGATAATGCCAGACCACATTCTGCAGCAATCACAACATCATGGCTACGTAGGAGAAGGAGCCGGGTACTGAAATGACCAGCATGCAGTCCAGATCTTTCACCTATAGAGAACATTTGGCGCATCATAAAAAGGAAGGTGCGACAAAGAAGGCCCAAGACGATTGAACAGTTAGAGGCCTGTATTAGACATGAATGGGAGAGCATTCCTA